GTCCTCCAGGTTCATCCAAGTGCCGGGATTTCCTCCGGGAAAGCTGACCAGTTCTCACTTGTGGACAGCCCACATGATGGGCCTCCATTTGCCTGCTGATGGACACTGGGTTGCTCCCGCCCTTTGGCTGTGGTGAGTGAAGCTGCCATGAAGGTGAGCGTGCAGGTGTCTGGGTCCTGGTCTTCCGCCATCTGCCGGCCAGCGGAGTGGCGGGGTAACTCGGTGTCATTGAGGACCCAGTGTTGCTCTGTAGCCTTTGGTTAACTCCACCCAGCTCTGTGGCAGCTCAGTTCTCTGCTCACCCCTGAGAAAAGTGCCAGGTAGAAAAAGCCCAGCCAACCACTGACACTCCCACGAGCCCTCTCTGCTCTCTTGGACCATCCTCCTCGCTTTTTCTCTTTAAAAAAAAAAATACATTTATTCAAAAGGGAAAATGACAGGGAGAGACAAAGAGAATCTTCATCTGCTGGTTCATTCCCCAAAGGGTCCCAGTGGCTGGGACTGGGCCAGGCCAGAGCCAGGAGCCAGGAGCTTCTTCCAGGTCTCCCACAGGAGTGCAGGGGCCCAAGCACTTGGACTATTTTCCATTGCCTTCCCTGGGCATTAACAGGGAGCTGGAATGGAAGTGGAGCAGCCGAGACTCGAACCGGCACTCGTATGGGATGCTGGCACTGCAGGTGGTGGCTTAACCCCCTGCGCCACAGCACCCTCTCGCCCCTTCCCCCAGTGCTCAACACCCCCTCTCCTGCAGCCCCTCTGCACACCTCACTGACAAAGCCCAGGAAATCCCTTTCATCCTTTTGCAGAGCCCTATAATTACTGCCTCTGGTGCCTTCATCCTGCCCTTGGGACTGTGCCCTCTACCTGAGAAGCAGCCCAGGACCAGGTCCGGGAAGAAGCCTTCTGTCTGCCCCAAAGAAACAACCTCAGCTGGCAAGAGCCAGGCGGGGCCCACAGCACGGCTGTATCCTAGGGGCCACCGTTGCTTCCCTCCCCTCCCCTGCCGGGGTGCTGTCAGCCCTGGCCGTGCCACCTGCCCCCTTTCCTCCAAGTTCTACGCCCTCAGTATGAAATTTGCTGGAATAACAGGCTGAACCTCTGAGCACCAGCAAGTGCCTTTGTAAACCCAGAGGAGCCCCAGGCCGCCCTGGGCTGGCGGTGGGGGCGACTGGGAGTTGGCATTTCCTGCAGTTGAGTCTTTGCCATGGACAGCTGCCAGCCCACACTGCAAGCTGAGTCAGCAGGGCCGGTCTCGGGTCCTCTACTGAGGCTGCAAACCGGGAGGTCCTGTGTTGCGTGCCCCTAGCTAGCATGGCCCTCTCTCGGGTTCTTATTGTCTGCCTTGCTCTTCACAATCCCTGCAAGGGGTGTCTTCCCCTTTTCTGTCAGTGAGGAGACAGAAGTTCAAGGAGCATTTGTGACTTGCCCAAAGCCGCCCAACCCTGGAGGAGAAGGGCTCGACTGGAACCCACACCCTCATTCAGAGCCGCAAGCTTTCTAACTCTGCTGTCTCTGAGGCCCAGCTCACCCCCGGGACAGGACAGGAGCTAGCGGCCACTGCCCTGGGCTCCGGCAGGCCCAGCGCCACCACTCACAGGCTGGGCAGCCCCTCGCCTTCTCCAAGAGGGTCTCTTCATCAGTAGAAGGGACCACCTGGGGTGGGAGCCGCATGGAGGGGTGTGTGGCAGAAGCCGAGCCCGTGCTGCCATCGCTGCCACCCAGCGCCCCTTGGTGGAGCTTGGAGGGAAAACAGCCCCAGACCTGTGCTCTGAACCACTCACAGCCTCTGCAAGCTTCACGCTGGGCGAATCTGGTGCCAAGCGCCATCTTGACTGTCTCCAGCCAGCAAAGACTTAACGTCCATTAAGAATTTCTAGAAATGCCTAAGCATTTCTCAAACACCTCTCAGCCAAGCGAACCTGGAGGACCTGTTGCTTGGCCATTCACAAAAGGACGATGCCGTAGGCTCCCACTTGTTGAGGCTCCTGGAGCAGGCGGAGTCCCACATAGAATGGGGGTTGCCAGGGCTGGGGGAGGAGCGTCTGTGTTTCTTGGGTGCAGGGTTTCAGTTTGCGGATATGAGAAAGTTCTGGGATGGATGCTGGGGAGGATCACCCAACAGCAGACAGTCAAGGCTGCTGACTGGACACTGAAAAATAATCAAGATGGAAGCTTTGTATTGTACTAGGATTTTTCTTTTGAATTCTGGGGAAAAAAATGAAGCCTCTTAGCCCTGCATGTCTTGCTTGGGTTTCTTCAGAAGCAGCGGGAACCTGTTTCTACATGGAGTTGTCTTGATTGCAATAAACTCTTAACCCAGGGCTCAAGTTAGTGTGTAAGGTGCGAGGTCACTTTGCAGGATCCCTGTGCCGCCCGCAGAGCAAACGAGAGTGGGTCCAGCACTGCCTGCGGTCCTGGTAGGGCTGGGCAATGCTGCTTTGCATGGGAGGTCAAGTCGGACATCCGTTTGTATTTGGGGGTAGTCACACGACGCGGTATCTGTTCTCAGCTTCCGAAGGTCAAAACCTGTGGTGAGTCCTAGTGGGGTGCTTGTGTTCTCAGAACCAGCACCTGCCGAGGAGTCTGCCCAGTCCAGCCCCACCTTCTGTTCGTCCCGGGGCAGAGCCCACAGCCCCAAGGAAGCAGGCATTTTACTGCGCTTCTTTCCCTTAAGCACAGCTGAACACATTGAAGCTGCTGGATGTGCGGCGACTCCACATGGGAGCGGAGGTGTCGGGTCCACAGAAGTTGCACATATGGGCTGTGATCACCCCTCGTTCTAGAGAACACCTATGCGTTGCTGTTTCCTGGTTTTGTTTGTTGTATCAGGCGTGGGGGAAGAAACTCAGCCACCTGCTGGTCCAGTCCCCAGATCCCTACAGTGGCTGGGACTGGACCAGGCTGAAGTCAGGAGCCAGGAATTCAATCCAGGACTCCCACATGGATGGCAAGGGCCCAATCACTTGAATCATCACTGTGGCCTCCCAGGGTCTGTATCAGCAGGAAGCTGGAGTCAGGAGCTGGAGCCAGGGACTAAACCCCTGCACTCTGATGTGGGTATCTTAACCAGCATCTCAACTGCTGGGCCGGATATCTTCCCCTGTTGAGTTTTAAAGCCTGAATTGTTCCCTGACCTTCGACAGAATCTATCACTGCAGAAAGCCAGCCCCTTTCCTCCTTCCTTCTGTGCCCACCGCAGACTGCAACTCACAGACACTCAGACACCCGGTCAGACCTGAAATCCTTCAACTTTTAAGGATCTTTGCAGACCAAAGTTCCAATTCCTGAGGCCAAAGTTCAAACCTAAACCACAGGGTTCTCAGCTTTTCAAGGAGATCTGGCTTCAGATTCCACAGTACTGCAAAGAGCAGTGGTCCAGGCAGCGCTCCCAGACTGGGTCCAGCAAGGCTGTGCCTTGGAGCTGGCGCCACCTTTCTGACAGATCTGACCCCATAGCCTTCAGCAGGGTCTGAGTAGCATGGGGCTCAATTCCGGACACAGGGGCTCCATAAAAAATTAGTGAATGACCAGTCACCCATGGCAGACCACCATCGATAGTTCAGTGCTACGCTGGGGCAATAGAGCTGATTGGCAGTAACTTTGAGTTCTGATGCCCAAGGATTGAAATGTAAGCTAGAGAATTGGGGCTATGGATGTAGATCCTAATTTTGCCATTAAAAACCTTGCTCAGCCAGCGCCGTGGCTCACTTGGCTAATCCTCCTCCTGTGGCGCCGGCACCCCAGGTTCTAGTCCCTGTTGCTCCTCTTTCAGTCCAGCTCTCTGCTGTGGCCTGGGAGGGCAGCGGAGGATGGCCCAAGTGCTTGGGTTCCTGCACCCGCATGGGAGACCGAGAGGAAGTACCAGGCTCCTGGCTTCAGATTGGCGCAGCGCTGGCCGTAGTGGCCATTAGGGGAGTGAACCAACGGAAGGAAGACCTTTCTCTCTCTCTCTCTCTCTCTCTCTCTCTCACTGTCTAACTCTGCCTGGCCAAAAAAAAAAAAAAAGTTCTCCAAGCAATTCCTGCTGTTTTTCTCATCTATGAAATCAGGTCGACAGAAGTGTAAAGAAAGAAAAAACACATTGACAAGCTCACTGAGGAAGACCCTGATTCTTCTACTTTGCAATGTGTTCTCGTCCCAGCCTAAATGGGGAATGTGAGAACTCTCATTCATTTGCATAACCACAGGGAGGGTCCTCTGGAATGTCATGGCTCAGTTTTCTTTTTTTTTTTTAATTATTATTTATTTATTTGAGAGGTACAGTTGGAGGGAGAGACAGAGAGACAGGTCTTCCATCTGCTGGCTCACTCTTCAAATGGCCGCAACGCTGTCATCCCGGTCACATTCCCTCCTTCCCACCCAGAGGAAACCATGCTCCTGACCTTGGTGTTGCCCATTCCACCACTGCTTCATACTCTTACTCCTTCTGAACAAGGAGAACGCTGTTTTTAAAAGATTTACTTGTCTGAAAGGCAGAGTTACAGGGGTGGCAGGAGAGAGAGCTTCCATTCACTACTTCCCTTCCCAGATGGCTGCAACGGCCTGAAACCAGGAGCCAGGAACTCCATCCAGGGTCTCCCATGTGGGTGGCAGGAGCCCAAGTACTTGGGCCATCTTCTGCCTTCCCAGACGCATTAGCAGGAAGATGGATTGGAAGCAGACTGGTCAGGACTTGAACCTGTGCTCCCAGGGGGTGCCGGCATAACCTGTTGCACCACAACGCCAGCACCAGAACTGGAAATATTTTTAAGGCAGCCCAGACATCCACCCCTCTCAGAAGGATTTGGACATTGTGGCTAACCTAGCTCAGTGTTGTTTGCAGGTCACACTGATGTCACCTCGTTGAGCTGAGAAAGTTCTCGTGTGTCTCCAGGTGGACCAACTGATGGCCCCAGGCCTCAGTGAGGATGCCTATGAATGGGCCTGAGCTTGGTGGGGACCACATAGCTGTGGCCCCCTATGTAGTTCTTTCCTGACCACGCGCCCCCCTCCCCTTCCAGACGGAGATGCGGCTGCAGGACCAGCAGCTGGCTAGGCAGCTCATGCGCCTGCGCGGGGACATCAACAAGCTGAAGATCGAGCAGACCTGCCGGCTGCACAGGAGGATGCTGAATGACGCCACCTGCGAGCTGGAGGAGCGGGACGAGCTGGCCGACCTCTTCTGCGACTCCCCGCTGGCCTCCGCCTTCAGCCTCTCCACGCCGCTCAAGCTCATCGGGGTCACCAAGATGAACATCAACTCACGGAGGTTCTCTCTCTGCTGAGTGGGTGAGGGGGCCGGGGCCGAGTGACCCCCTGGGTCTCCCCAAGGCCTGCAGGCAGGTGCTCCCTCAGGGACCCGGCTGTGGATCCCTGAGTCTCCATGACCAGCATTGGTTTGACACCCAAAGAGCCCCGCAGAAGGGCTGCTCCCTTCTAATGTTCCCTGAGAGCTGGGGTCCCTCTCTCCAGCCCATTCCTGTCCCCAGGAATCACTGGTGCTCTAAACTGGGGTCCCCAAGGCCCCCTGCCGCACTGGAGAAATCAGCTGTGTTAGATGCACATGCATAGAGCGCTGAAGTGGGGGCACGTGGGTGGGGCCAGCATGGGTGCCCTCCGTAGCCTCCCCTGGCCCTGTGCGCTGATCACAACGTCCACAGAGACCGTGGCTGTCTCCCACAACCCTGGCGGAAGCGCCTGGGAGATTGCTGGTAACGGAACCAGGCAGACAGTGAACAGAGTTCCGGTACCTGAATTCTCCTGCTGTGGAGGGCCTGCGGCAGGGACCCAGGTGGATTCCCAGGGTGTCGCTACACCACCTACTTATTTCCCACCCCAGAAGCCGGTCCTGAGCCTTCCCTGAGATCCTGTGCCTGACCTAAACTACTCCTTTTAATTGAACAAGACTGTTAGGAATGTGTTGCTAACCTGCTGTTGACTGTTGGTACAAATGGGAGCTTGTTGGGTGGCTCGCGTGCAGGGGTCGGGGTCCCATTTCAGGAGTGTCTAGAGGATCAGCAAGCTAAGAGCACAACCCACTAGAGAGGCCGGCCCAGTGCAGCAACACGGGACAGCTGGCTGATTCCTGGCCAGTCCTCTTGTTAACAAAGGAGCAGGGTGAAGCCTGGGGAGGGAACCGCTCCCTCGTGCGCATGGCCATGTAGTGGTTGTAGAGTATCGGTGTGTGGAATCCTTTGTGTTAGGTTGAACCCTGGAGATGGGCCTGGTGTTTTGCCAAACCTACAGACCGCCAATCCCTCTCCTCGGCACCCACTCCCACCCACACCTCCCACTGTGTGCACTTGGGAATATCAGGGTACCAGGAGCACAGTGCCTGGGCGCTGGGCCCCAGGGCACGTGGCTGGTCACGTGCCTTGGGCTAAAATGCACCACAGCCTGTGTTTCTCATCTCTGCATCACCACAGCAGGGTCCAGTCCGTGACCCGCCTAAGGGAGAGGCTGCCTCTCCTGCGAGGACTTGGAGTGCAGGGAGCCCAGTGAGTGGCTCTGTAGTAGACAGAAAAGAACTTGGTCTCCCCCTCGGGATGACAAAGAGCCCGAGAGCTGAGGTTTTCCTTGAAGGGGGTAGCGCAGTGTCGCTCGGATCCGGCAGCCCCCTGGCGCCCATCCTGCCGTGTCTGAGTCTGTGCCATCACCATGTGCTGCCAGTCTTAGCCACCCTCTGGGCGACACACACTCATCCACTCACAGTACAGCGAACACACAGAAACATTCCCGGATCCACGCAGGAAAACCCAGCCCATATTTTGAACAAATGCCATGTTTTTTTTTTTTTCTTGTTAAAAATCAGTCATTACGGTAGCAAAAAAAAATTGGATTCATCTGAAGCTGAGCACTGGCCGTGAATGGGCTCAGTCTGACTGATGTGGAGGCGGCCCAGCAGGGTGGGCACCCAGCTCACCCGGGGCTGGCCGCCTGCCTGTGTACCTGCCCTGCCACAGGGAACTGAGACCACACTTCTCTGGGTGGGCTGGCGGTCTCAGCTATGTGCTCAGTCCCTCCCAGGAGAACGTTTGTCTTTGGAAGAGGAGGAGGGCTCAGAGAAGAGAAATGGCGGGGAAAGATGGTAACTGCTTTCCTGTACTTGGTGCAGGGCCCGTCAGTAGTCTCCTTTCCGCAGTGACACAGCTCACCCCTTAGCCAGCTTTGTGTGGGCCGAGAGACGTCTCCTTCGTGGCCAGCGGCCTGGCCTCCCGGCGTATACAGTCCTGTTTGCCATTGTCCGTGTTACTCATCATCTCTCTGCTGCCCAAGGATCCCCGAGTATAGAACTCGGAGTCTCCCCTAACCCTGCCGTGTGTGGTCTCCTGCCTCCGCATTCTCCGTAGCAATCACAGAGACCTGGGGAGCCTGGCCTGGGCCACGACCTACCCCTGTAGCAATACCAAGTGCTATTACATAATCAACTGACAATTTATAGCGTTATTTTTATGATTATTTGTTTCTACATTGCTGTTAGAGAAAGTGAAATAAAAATATTTGACAAGACACGCATACAAAGAAGAGAAATTGATCTCCTTTTGGCTTGTCTCTGTTACAGCACACACAGGGCTAAGCACTGTGAAAGAAAGGATGGATGGATGGATAGATGGATGGATGGATGGAGGGGTGAATGACTTCAGCAATCAGAGGAAGGTATGGGAGGAAGGGAAGATTCACCAAAATCCTCCTCCTTCCTTTGGTGAGCCTCCCCTCGGAGGCTTCCTGGGGGTTGGCACCAAGCTGTGGCTCAGGAGTGCAGCCTGGGTCTCTGCTCTGCACAAACTTGTCAGCTAACAGACGCAGGCGGCCCAGCACACTTGACAAAGCAGGCCAGGAACGGCATTGCTCTGAATGGGTCCCGTCTGCGTGTTCTCAGAGATGGTATGAGCGCTTCCACGCCGGTGGGAGCAGCCTTCTCGCACTGCCAGGCGGAGGAGTGAGCACGGTCTCTGACCATCCACCAGGAGCTCACAGGAGAAAGTGGCCACTTGGCCCGTGGGACGTGGAAATCCACCGTCCACAGCGGCACGTGGTTCAAAGGATGTTTGTGAAGCTGCAGGGCCACACATAAGGGAGACTGGTGGCCTCCAAGCACGGAGGGTAATTGTAAGCTGCACTGAGAAGGTGAGACGGGAGGCCGCAGCCTCGTACGGAGGGGCTGCTTTTCCAGGTGACCAGGGAGTGCTTGTCCCAGAAGGTGCTGTTTCAGATGGACACACAGACAAGCTCGGTTGCAGGCCCAGGCTGGAGCATGGCCTGGGGGGAAGGGGTGGGCCGCAGAGCCGCCAGGTCGGAGTGAAGGGTTGGGGGTTGTGTCTGGCTTCCCAGGAAGTCACTGGAGGTTCTCCAGGGATCTATGATCTGTTTGAAGCTCCAGCAAGATCCACGTAGAAAGGCCTGCCGCTGTGTGGAGTGGGATGGGAGGGTGGGGGGTAGCATGGAGCCGAGGCGGAGCCCAGCAGGGCATGAGCAGGTGGTGGAAGCCAACACGGGCGTGACTTGGCCAGGAGCAGCTGTGGAGGGGGAGGAGAATGAACCGCGTCCCTGGGCATTTACTTGGGGATGCACTTTCGAAGTGAAGCCATTGGGGAGCGCTGATAACTTGGATGTGGAGTGCGGAAAACAGATTCAGGCTGGTGTGCGGTCAGCAGATGGATGGACAGCAGGCGGGGTGACCCCAACGGTTCTGTTTCTCATTGTATATAAATGCCAATTATACATTGATGTAGGGAGTGGGCTGGTCACGGGGCCTGGACCTCAGGGAAAAGGCCAGCATTGGAGTCATATATTTAGGAGTATGGATTCCAATGCTTGGACACCATCTAAAACACTAGACCTGGATAAACCCATCCAGGAAGGGGGTGTGTGCATGTAGTGGAAAAAGGGGCTACAAACAGCATCCTAGGGACCCCAACACCTACTGAGTGATTGATTTTATCAGTGTTGGCAGATTGCATGTATTTGTGGGGTACAAAGCAGTGCTAGGCTTATGTAGACCTTGTGAGATGCTTGAATCAAGCTAATTAAGATCTCCTCGGATACCTGCCACATGTCCTTCTGTCTCACGCACACACTGTACCTTTGACTTCCATCTCCCCACTCCCCTCCCTCCCCCGACACCTCCCCCCACTCCCAGCAGCCACTTTTCTGCTCTCTGCTTCTGGGATTTCAGATCTTTGAAATAAGTGGGAACATGCATTCTGGGGACTCCAACACTGAGAGGCCTGCTGGAGAGAGAGGAATAGGAGAGGAGACCTGGAAGGAAGAGCCAGGAAGGTTGAAGGAGGACCGGGGGCACAGGCAGCAGGGAACCAGCACACGCATAGAGCGCCGAAGTCGCGGGCTAACGGCGGCCTTGAGCAGCCACGGGCTGCCTGACCAAGCGCCTTCCGGAAGGACCCATTGGAGGGGGAGAGCCGTTCCTGTGAAATGCTGCTAAGGACTTGAGTGGGAAGAGGACGGAGAGAGACGGAGGCTGGCTTCACAGGTTGCCCATCGATGAGGCTGGCAACAGACGGACCTGGGCAGAGGGGAGGACAGACGGCCTGCTGTCTGGGAGCCGGGAGGGGGCCGAGTGCAGGCAGCTGCTGTGTCAAGCGGCTTTGCTGTAAAGGGAGCAGACAATTGGGAGGTGGGTGAGCACAGCTAGGGAAAGGAATGGCTTGGGGTCTTCTCACGACAACCTGTGACGTGCCCACAGCAGCAGGAGGGGAACGACAGGTGGTGCCTGAGTGGGAAGAGGGCGTCTCAGGAGGTGGAGGCCCGGGGCCAGGTATAGGGGGAGGAACAGGGACACTCCCTCCATTGTAGAGAAGGGAGGCAGGGGTGCAGGTGAGGGAAACCAGGGCCAGAACGAGGAGGGAACCCTGGGCGGGGACTCCTGTTTTCTCTATGAAGAGAGCGGAGTGGAGGTTTGAGGAGAAAGAAGTTTTCAGAATAACTATCAGAGTGGGTAAGTTAATGTGTGAGGGAGGGGTCACTGGGTCATCTGGGCGCTGGCTCCCATCTGACACACATGGCCCTGACTGTGAGGGGCACCCCCACGGCCTCACTGGGAGGTTTGCTTTCCCACCAAGCCACAGCCGTTCCAGTACCCAGACCAGGCGCACAGTGGGAGACAGGATTGGCCAGGGAAGAAGCAAATGTTTTCCAAGGTGCTTGTCGTATAGGGCTGAGTGGGGTGGGGACGACGGAGCGCAGGGCACAGGGGCAGTAGCGATGGACAGGCAGGGTTGAGGGAGGCCTCAAGGCCATCTGGAAGTTGCTAGAGAATTCCAGAAGGAACAGCAGGTGGTGGGGAGTGGAAGTGACACACAGCGGGAGGCTGTGTGACATCTTCCACAGCCCCAGCCTGCAGCTTCGTTAGTGAGGACAGTAGACAAAATTGGCTTGGGGTAGGCATTTGGCACAGCTGTTAAGATACCGCTTGGGGTCCCCACGTGCACAGCAGAGCGCCTGGGTTCCAGTCCTGGGTCCACTCCCAGTTCTGGCTTCCTGCTAATGCACACCCTGGGAGGCCACAAGGGATGGCTCAAGTATGTGGGTCCCTGTCACACACATGGGAGAGCCAGGTTGAGTTCCAGTCTCCTGGTTTTGGTGTGGCTGGTGCCACTGTTGCCAGCAGATGGACAATCTCGTTCTCTCTCTCTCTCTGTGTCTCTGTCTCTTTGCCTTTCAACTCTGTCTGGTTGCCTTTCAAATACAAATAAATACATTTTTTAAACCTGCAGCTCCCAGAACTTCCTGAAGACCGTATCTGTCTTACTGGGAGCAGGGGATTTGAGCTATTCCCGTGCACGTCCCCTGTGGCTCCCCGGGAGGGCAGAAGCAGTCCCCTTTGCTCATTCTCCACGTCAGAGGCCAGCCCTGGAGCCTGTGGTCTCGCGGCTTGGGGAGGCGGCTGCCATGGGCTGCTGGGGCGACA